CAATACGAAGCTGAAATCAAAGTTGGCAGCTGACATGAGGAAGGAGATGGGCCAGCAGTGGAACCTGGAAATCCTGGTCTACCCCTCCGTGACAGCAGCCAATCAAACAAAAAGTAAACACAAGCAAAAATATATTAGCAAGACATCATTCATTGGAGTCACCCATGAAACGGTCACAGAAATTAATCATGTTCCAGCTCACAGAGGAATTACCAAAAGGTTCCATCTTTGTTCATACAAAGAAACAATAGAAAACAGCAATAGGAAGCTATAGAGATCCCAAATCTATATATTTTTCATTAGCTTTTTTTATATTACATGTGATATATATATATATGTGTGTGTGTGTGTGTGTGTGTGTTTACCCAGAGAAGTCAAAAAGAGGGCATTAGATCCCCTGGAACTAGAAGGTGGAGAGAGATTGAGGAAGACACCAGATCACCAGATGTTAACCTCTGGCTTCTGCATGCATATGTACACATATGCCTTCTTTCTCTCTCTTGTTCCCTTTCTCTCTTACACACACACACACACACACACACACACAGAGAGAGAGAGAGAGAGAGAGAGAGAGAGAGAGAGAGAGAGAGAGAGAGAAATGAATATAAGGCCCAAGTAAAACATAGTATCAAGTAAAGTTTATCCCAAGAATTAGATAGCCTTTTTCTTTAAAATTTTAAAAACTTAATTATTTCTCCTTAATAATTATAATTTTTGAGATTATAATATAATTACATCATTTGTCCTGTTTCTTTCCTCCTCCCACTTGAAACCTTCTCATGCACCTCTCCTGCCTTGCTTTCTTTCTAATTCATAGCTTCTTTTTAATTGTTGTTGTTGTTGGTGGTGGTATGTGTGTGTACGCATAGACACACATGTATACATTCATAAACACATAAATACAACCTGTACAATGTTCCTTGTATGTGTATGTTTCCAGGGATAACCAGTGGGTGTGCTCTTCGCTAGGGAAGACTGTTTCCTCAGCTCCCAGCGTTCCTTAGTTGCTGTAGTTCTTTGTATAAGGTTGAGACATCGTGGGCTTTGTCTAGTTTAGCATGTCTGGGTTGTCTTTGTTCAGCTTGTGTTTAGGTAGTCACATTGGTAAGACCGTATGGGTGTAGCTTTTGACATTCCTAGGAGAGACAATCCCATAGCAAACTCCCTGGTCCTCTGGGTCCTACAGTCTCTCCTCCTCCCTCTTCTGCAGTGGCCCCGAGCTTAGGTGGAGGAGTTGTTTTACAGATAGATGTATCTATTGGGAGTGGGCTCCATAACTCCACATTTTTATTTTATATTTTGGTCTTTCGAGACAGGGTTTCCCTGTGTAGTCCTGGTTGTCCTGGAACTTGCTCCTAGACCAGACTGACCTCGAACTCACAGAGATCCTTTGCCTTTGCCTTCCAAGTGCAGGGATTAAAGGCGTGCGCCACCACTGCCCGGCCTCATAACTCTGCGTTTTGACTGCTGGCGGTTTCCTGTAACCGTCTCCATCGGTTGCTGCAAAGAGAAGTTTCCTTGACGAAGGATGGGCTGCATGTGTCTGTGGGTCTAAGGGCAGATATTTAGAATGTAGTTAGGGATTATGGTGGTTAAGTCGCAGTTGCAGGGTTTTCTCTAAGATCATGGCTTCACAGCTCCAGTAGTTGGCTAGGTTTCTGGCATCAGGCACGGTTTCCTACTTGGTGGGTGAGAGCAGGCTCTGTTCTAAAAGCACTGTCACTTAGGCTGACTCCATTCACGGAATAGACTGGAAGGCCATGATTATCTCAGTGGACTTAAGAAGGTGTTGGATACCCTAAACGCCCTTGTGGAAGGAAAGCCCATAGATTAGAGAGTTTCCTCCACCCTGGCAGGTGCTGACCTAAGGCCAACAGTAAAATGTGTTTTACAGGAAAGACCCTAGAAGCTTCCCCTGAAGGCCAAAGTCCAAGCAGAGATGCTCCATTTCTCCACTGCTGCTTATCAATCACATGCCCTGGCTGATTAGAGAAAGCACAGGAAATATGCAAAGACAAGGACCGCAAGTAAGAGAGATAAAGAATGTTACTGGAGCCGATAATATATGTATATAACCTAGGAGAAAGCCCAATGTGGTGTGTGTGGTGTGTGTCTGTATGCTGGGCGGGGACAGGAGGGCCAGCCTTAGTCATGTAGAAAGTTTGGGGCTTTATGAGGCCCTGTAAAGAAAGGGAGGGAGCAGAGGAGAGAGGGAAGGAGGGTCAGAAGGAAGGAGAGAGAGAAGAAAGGAGGGAAGAAAGGAAGATAGACCAACAGATAACCTAGGAATATCAAGGAACAATTAGAACGATCCGAAATTCCCAGCAGAGTTTTGTGCCAAACCCACAAAGTTCTCTGACAAAAGTGTATAGAATTCTTATAGAACAAGTTTTATGATCCTAAATAGAACATGATAAACGGTGGGTGTAAACTCTTGTGGCACACTGTCGGGGTCCCCATGGGCTGTCTCCTGCAGTGGTTTGATCCAGAACACCCCCAGAGCCCTGAATACATCCCAGAGCCGTGTGCATCCATGGGGATGCAGTTGGAAGGTGGTGAAGCTGTACGGGGTGGAGTTTAGTGGAAGGAAGTTGGGACATTCCTGGTGTCTTCAGATGGGATACTGGGACTCCGAGAGCTGAGCATCTCGTGTGTTTTCATCACAGTGATCAGAGCCGGCTAACACATCACCATTATCTACAGAAGTTTGGAAGAGAAAAGCAAAAAGGGACAGTCACTGGGAAAATCACCCAGGTCATTTTGAAAAGACATCGTAACTGAAAGTGTGAACAGAAAAACAAACTATTGGGCTTGAAGCTTGACTAGAAACACACTCTATGCACAGTCCAGAGTGTGTGTGTGTGTGTGTGTGTGTGTGTGTGTGGTGTTAGGGGTTTTGCTGTATGGTCGTGGAAGATTGCCTTAGGGGAAATAGGACGAAGAAGCATAAAATGATATCTTTATCCTATTAAAAAAAATTCCAGGGAGAGTATAGATCTAAATCTGTAAGTCACAGATAAAAACTTAGGATAGTTTTGGGAGTTTGGCCTGGGTAGAGATTTCTCCAGAAATAGGATAAAGCGGCTATGATGGGGAAATAGGTCGACTGGCTTTTCTACATCAGAGCTTGCTAGTGTCGGGCTTCTGTCTGTGCTCACTGGGCACAGAGTATTGGCTCCTGTGCACCAGCTCTCCAGGGTAAAGACAGATGCTGAGATTAAGACTGAGGGGCGCCCCTGGGAGCATGCGCCACGCTGGATGCCCTGGTGGTCTTGTTCTGTTAGACTGAATTGCTGTCCTGGGCAGGAGTTCAACTGTCTGTGGAGAGCCTCTTGGTGAAGAGCCTCAGAGGCAGGTTTGGTGAACCGAGAGAGACCATGGTGACTTCAGAAACACGGGCCTGATCCCTGTGTCGTTCCCATCCTCTCAGGGCGGGTGTGGGTTACCTTGACACAAGCGTGGGCTGTCCATTGATAACTCACAGCCCTGACTGTGCTCTGGAATCACCTCAGGAGCTTGTTAAAAATAAGTCAGAGCGCCCCACCCCAGCACACTCTGATTCAGGAGGTGCCAGGCTTAGGAACTGACATCTGACCGGCTCCCATGGGTGGCCAGTGTTGGACCTGCCGAACTGGATCGGCCTCCAGGGTCCAGAGGCAGAACAGCTCAGCTGCCAAGGATGGGGGACCCACCTGGGCTGGAATGTGGCAGGCTCCACGCCCAGAGTGTGCCGGAGCAGGAAGTACGGTAGCTTGGGATGGCGAGGGAATGTTCCAGCAGAGAGGCAGTGCCAGTGAGGGACTGACTGAGGCTTACCTTCCTCCTGTCCTGGTCCTGCCCCTGTGCCCAGGTGGCCTCTTCTCTACCGTCTTCTCTATCAGCCTGAGCCTTGGGGGCGAGAAGCTGACCTTCATGCCTGTGTGCATTTATTCAGTGTTCTTCCCTGTCGTTTTATTCCATGGGTGTTCACCAGGACAGTGCTGTGCCAGGGCCAGGCTGTAGCAGGGAGCCATACAGTTCCAGCTGGTTAGGGAGAGAGGAGAGACCAACGGGCTGTCATAAAGTGTATGGAGTTCTACCATGGAGAACCATCAGACACCCAAGAGGGACATCTGTCTTCTACTTTGGAAACCTAGAACTGACAGGCGCAGTGGAAGAGACCAGGGATGGGTGCAGGGGACTGTGTGACACGCCGGGAACCTGCAGGGACCTTGGTGGCGGGTTGGACTAAGAGGTCCAGGGGAGATCGTGAGGGTGGAGGAGAGTCTCGTGGAGGTTAGCCTGCAACCTGGGACCCACTAGCTCCGCTGATCCCTTTGACTCACCAGGAACAGGAAGAATGGCTGGGACTTAGGGGTATTTAAGTCGCTTTGTGACAAGGCCTGAGGGTTCTCTTTGCTAGAGAGAGGGAGGCTTGGGTGGGACTCCTGAGAGGAAGGAAAGGGGAGAGGGCAGGTGCTTCTGCACAGCCACTCCCCCACTGGCCATTGAAAATGGCACCCTGTTAAAGATGGTTGTCACTGAGTGGTGACATTTTCTGATAAAATTCTGAATTTCTCTTTGCTTAGCTGAGTTTTACCCTTGCTGGGTTTTGTTGTTGTTGTTGTTGTTTTAACATAGAGTGCATTACTTGCGTCCTTAAAATGAATAAATGAAATTTGTAAGGTGCAAGCTTACTTGTTAATGCAGGGGAGCTGGGGATGTCCAGTACATGCAAAAACGCAGCCTCCAGGCTCTTCCCTCCACAGCTCAACACAGCTAGTGCAGCCAGTGCGGTGGCTGAGGGAAGAGAGCAACTGCTGGCGGTCTTCCTTGGGCCACCACAGGCCTAGAAGGCACTAGGCAGGGCCCAGTGTGCCTTGGATGCTGAGGGCACCCTTGTGGCCTACACAGAGGACTCACTGAGCCACTATTCTGGGCAGCAGGACCAGGCTTGCCAGGCCTCTTGTTGGGGGCATGTGACGCAGGCCTAAATTCCTTTTCGGGTTTCTCTTTTCTAGATACACTTCCCAGACGTGGAGCGCGTGGAGTGGGCCAATAAGGTAAGGCCATTGGTGGGCAGGAAGGGCGGGATTCACTGCAGGCCTGGTGTCCTCCCGTGCAGCCCTTTGCGACTCAACATTGAGTCCCTGAGCAACCTGACGAGAGTGCTGTGCAAACCCAAGCCTCAGGTTGTACTTGCCTTGCTAGGGACTGGAGAGAGGCCCCTCCACTGCCGAGCTTCCTCCATTGATTCATTCACAGAGACGTTTTCTTCTCTTAAAGGTTTTTTTCCTTTAAATAAGTTTTAAATTAGTATCTGGACTGAGGAGAAAAGTTTGTTGTTTTTGAAAGTACAGAGAAAATTTATAGAGGAAAGAACAACCCTAATCTTCCTCCTCTCAAGATGACTGTATAAGGAAAGGAAGATACCAATTAGACACAGCATCCGTGCTCCCTGCCGGCTCCCAGCCCAGCTACAAAACCACTGCTGTGTAACCTTGGGCAATTTTCCCAGCCTCTCTGAGCCAGTCTTCTTATCTGTAAAATGGGAGTGATTATGATTTCTGTCCAAGCCCGCGTGAGTACGAGTTCACTGATATCTCTGTTGTGACTGTGGAAGGTCATCTAAGGGAATTCCCCTGGTGCCAGCTAGCTGCTCCATGTCCCGTCTGTCCATCTGCATCAGGAACCCTGACTCTTTAGATGGTCCCCACCCCCCAGCCTGATCTGTGAGGGGTCCCCCTGCAGCCCACACCTCTAGGCTCCTGCCTCTCCTACTCAACCCTGGGAGGAGATTTGATCCACAGCAGCATCACTGAGGTCAGGGGTTAACACTCATGACCGTTGTTAATCTAAGGCTGATATTTTCACATTGCTGGACATGTCATTGCCAAGCATATCAAAAACTGCCCCAGCCTCCATGTAGAATATAGAGGAAATAGCTCATGGCTTTAGGAATGACCAGGGTTCTGGGATAAAGAGCTGGGTATCAGGCCTTGGGGACACACTCTGCAGAGCCCTTCCTGTGTGTGCCAGCCAGGCCCTGATGACTGTCGAGCTTGAATCTTGACTGAAAGCTACATGACTGTGGAGACAGCCATTAGGATGGAGTACCACGTGACTGTGGATGCAGTTGTTAGGGTGGAGTGTCACGTGGCCATGGATGCAGCTGTTAGGATGGAGTGTCACACGTGGCCATGGATGCAGTTGTTAGGATAAGGATGGAGGCAGCCATGGAGGTGAACCGCACGTTGAGGGTAATGCCACGAGCTCTGGAGAACACCGGAAGATGGTGTAGAAGAGGTCTCCAAGACAGTGGGAGGATGAGCCCCTGGGTCCCATATGGCTTCAGGCTCTACCATGATTATGGGGAGGACCGGAGTGGGGAAGGGGCACCTTTATACTGAAGCCCGAAGACCCCACTACACGCTGTCACTTGTCCCTGCCACCCAACATCTCCACTTCACGTGGTTACAATAGAAAGTGGCCATTACTGGTAAAAAAGAAACTGACAGTCTTTAGGTCAACTAAAAACATGGCGCCTTGCCAGTAAGATAGTTTGTCCATCCCCATGACGTACATGGTCGGGGAGAACAGACTTCTCCATTGTCCTCTGACGGCCACGTGAGTGCTGTAGTGCAAGCATGTGTGCGTGTGCACACGTGCGCACACGCGCACACACACATCACACACAATGTAAACAAGAAAAGTATTCTACCAATATCATTTTGGCAAATTCTGATCATTGTATAGTATGTCCGCATGACATTTCTGTCAACAATGAACCAAAATACTAAAGTGGTCCCGTGGATTATGACTGGAGCCGAACATTTCCTGTCGAGTGTCTCAGCCACGTCTGTCTACAGACACTGCCTACTGTGCGTCCTGGTTGCCTGTAGTACTCACCACAGTAACTTGCTGGGCAGGTTTGGAGCCTTGGAGCCATAGGCTGAACCAATCCACTGGGTGTGTAGTAGGCTAGACCGTCTGGGTGTGTGTAAGTACACTTGGTATTTGCACAAGGACTAGGGCATGGGTACATGAGGCCCTGGCATCAGGAGGAACTTGGTCCCACTCATGGCTTTCAGACCAGCCCTGGCGCAGGAATGGACCAAAGTCTGCCTTTTTTGGCGTGTAGAAATTATGCCCATAGGAAACAATTTATCAATCTCGTCTGTCATCATTTTTTTTTCTTAAACCAATAGCATCTGTTACTGTGTACGAGGTGTAATGCAGAGCAAGGATGTTTTTAGGGCAGATCTGATGGCTTTAAATTGCTGAATTAGACTGAAGTGTTCCTATAGTACTCTCAAAATACAGCTAACCCTCTGCTGGCAGTGGGATCGGCTTCTGTCATCAGGTGTTTACAGAATGGATTGATGGGCAGGTGGGAGGCTAGCGGGCAAGCCACATGACTGTGGATGCCACCCGTGGACCAGGCTGCAGAGGATCCAGGCTTCTGTGGACCTGCAGTCTGGGACACAGAGCTGACCTCCAAGGGCCCCCGTCCCAACTTGCAGATCATCACGCAGATCTGGCCCTACCTAAGCATGATCATGGAGAACAAGATCCGGGAGAAACTGGAGCCCAAGATCCGGGAGAAGAGCGTCCACCTCAGGACCTTCACCTTCACCAAGCTCTACTTTGGACAGAAGGTTGGTGATGCGTCAGTGAGGTCAGCCTGGACTTCCTGGGCAGTCTTTTCTTGTCCTCTCTTCCTGGTCCCCCCACCCAGGACAGTACTTGGTTATGAGGATGCCACTGGGCCTCAGAGAGCCATAGCCCCTGCCTGTGTTTCCCAGCTTGTCAGCCCCAGGGCACAGCTCTTGCCTCCAGTCCTCCTACCCAACTTTCCGGGCTCCAAGGAAACCACGGTCATAGAGCAGAAAGAAGCTGAAGGAAATAGTTCCCCTTTTCTTCTAGAAACTTCAGAAACATGCACAGAGGGAGCCAGATAGCTAGGAAAGACGAACAAATGGTACCTGCTAACTCCGAGGGTCAGCTGTGATCTCTGCCCCAAGGCAGTTCAGGGCATTAGCAGCTCACACTAGTTCTGTGGAGACCACAGGCATCCCGAAAGAAGTGATGTCTGAGTTGCCCTTGGAGAACTCGGCAGGCAGAGCAAAGGAACTTCACACTGCTGAGTTTAGAGCAGAGCCTGCACCACCAGGCCACTCCTTGGGCACCGAACCCGAGGAGGCTGACCAGATGTTCTAGGCCTGCAGGTGACTGGCCTCACTCCTCCTTCTGCCCTTTCGAGGCCTTCTGTTCTTGGCTTTGCCCATCTCCTCTCTGTTCCTCGTCCTCCGGTTTCCCCTCCTTTCACTGATTGACTGGGGGGGGGGGCTCTCCCAGGACCTTCACAGGCCCAGGCACGCCCCTGCGTATGCCCCTGTGCAAACCGCTGTGCATGCCGCTATGCATTTGCCCCGCCCTCTTCTTTCACATCCGCCAGTGTCTTTAGCATCCTCTGTGCTGTGGTAAGCTCGAGCCAGTGGCCTGCCCTCTCTGAGCTCCACTTTCCCAGCACATGAAAGGACAGGACCCGTTTCTAAGGGCTCCTCTGAGGCATGAACCAGCTGGCCCCTGCAGCTGGGTAAACCATGTCCCAAATGTGGAAGCCATGTTCTGGTCTAGTGCCCTTGTCTGAACCAGGACTATCCTGCTGGCCTGTAGTGGTCACCCTAATACCTGTCCCTGAAGGTGAGGTATTGGGGTAGCTGAACATTCAGAGGTTCCAGGCGATCCTCTACTCCCGGCAGGCCCCGAGAAATGATGACTGAACACAGTACCCCTCCCCCAAACTACACTTCCAATGAGCCGGGGCATAGCCAGGCTGCATGTGCCCTTTTACAATTCTGGAGACTCCTAAAGAAAAATAGAATATAAAATTAAAAGTTGCCTAACACATGGAAGGTCTTAGGTTCAATTCCAGGTACCAGAAGAAGTCTAAAATACCAAATAAATAAATATGAGAAAACAAATCAGAGGTGTAAAAAAAAAAAACATTGTGTTTTTAATGAACTCCATACTTTGAGAATCTATTCAAAGGTTAATACATTTTTAGATTTTACGTTATGTGTATGTCTGAGTGACTTGATGTGCACCACACATGTGCCCAGTGCCTCCCAGGGAACAAGGAGCAGCAGACCCCTGAAACTGGAGTGACAGGTAGTTGTGAGCCACTGGGTAGGTTCTGGGAACCAAACCCTGGTCTTCTGCAAGAGCAGCGAGTGCTCTGAGCCATAGAGCCATCTCTCCAGCCCCAATAATACATTTTCAAATGCTACTTTCTGTGGGGTGAGCAGAAATGTAATGGAATCCTTTCTCCTTGTGGAACTGGTCGAATTATTTCCAATAACTTAGTATGAAAAAATCTTAAACATATAAGATGTTTAGTGAATTATTCAGTGAACGCCTCAGGTCTGTTCTCTAAGCTGTGCAGATGCTAATATCTTGCTGTGCTTGGTTTATTATATATCCCTGCCTCTGCCTATATAATCATCTTTCTCTAAAATGCGCTCCAAACAACAGCAGACATTCGTGAACTTTTTACCTCGCATTTGGCATGCATATCACTAACTCAGGTGCAAATGAAATTTAGTTTTTACTCCTGATGAGTCTTAACCAGAGTACCTGAGGGTACAGTGAGCACGGGTGTGTGTGTGAGAGAGGGAACAGAAGGGATTGGATCCCTGAGCCAGTGACCCTGCCTTTACCCTACCCATGCAGGGCCAGCTCCTTCCCATCTGCCACACTCCCTTTAAACTCTCTTTAGGAGACCTTGTTACTCACCCCCAACCCTCCCCACTGGGTGGGGCAGAGTGGCTGTTCTTTATTTGACTTCTCCCTTTCCACTGTCTCGGGGCTAGGCGGTGGGCATATGAGGCCAAGCTAGGTCCCCATTGCCCTGTCTTCTCCAGGCTAAGGCCTCCTGGAGTCGATCCTGTTAAATAGCTGTGACAGGAAGGGGAAGCAGGGGATCCATAGTCTTTCTGTCATCTTTTTCAGTGCCCCAAGGTGAACGGTGTTAAGGCACACACTGACAAATGTAACCGGAGGAAAGTGACCCTGGACCTGCAGCTCTGGTGAGTCCTGGTGTCTCGGGGACAGGCAGGGTAACTCTAGACAGCAGCTTGAAGATAGAGTGGTTTTGTGTGTATGCTGGTTTGGGGCATGAAAGCCTTCCTAGGACCACAGCACCTCTGGGCTGAGACCCAGGTCTTTGTAAAAGGCGGGGTACAGAAAAGTGGATGGGGGATGACTGGCCCCGAATAGCCAGCCCTGGCTCACTTCTCAGCCTGAGCCTGGCGTCTTGCACCCCCAGCAGCTCTGCAGGACTTTCTTGCAAGCCAAAGCTGGGCCACTTGGAGGGTCAGAGCAGCCTCTGCAGAGGTGGGTAGAGGAGGCAGGTGCTTGTGCTGAGACCAGGGAGCTTCAAGCAGAGAGGAGAGGCTGTGTGGAGAGCTGGCCTCTGACACGCCAGGAAAACTAGAGTCAGCAGTGAGAGGCTGTTGAGTGGGCTGCACGCTGCACTGGGCTGCACACTGCACTAGGCGTGGGCACGTCTTTCCAGTGAGGCTCATGACGGGCCTGAGCCAGGAAGGGAGAGTCAAGCAATGCATCTTTCCAGAGGTGCTGAGGCATTGACAGTGTGTTTGGGGACAGGACAAGAGTGGTTTTCATTCCTTCCCAGAGTCTCACATTTCTTGTCATTGGCAGAAACAGAAGATGGCTCTGAGGCCACCCTCTTAGGAGCTGGTCTCCATTGTGCGTGTTAGAAGGGTAGCAGACCACGAAGTACCCCTGTCCCCAGATACGCTGTCACAGACCCTCCTGTGAATAGTTCAGCCTCTCAGGTGGCACTTAGCACCCCTGCCACCCTGTTCTGCCTGTCCCTGCTCACCAAGCATTTCTGTGGTCTGACAGCAGGCTCATATGCCCATGTGTGCAGGGGTGTGATGGTCATCTCCTCTTAGCTTCCTCCAGACCTTTGACAGTCTCTTGACATTTACCCTCAAAGGCGCCCACTCTGGGCTCCTCAGGGCCCATCACCTGGCAGGGGACGCCAGCTGGTCCTGTCTCCAAGGTTCTATCACCCACCTCCACCAACAACTAGAGATGATGGCGGGATGAACCAGGGGGTGTGGCACATGTGTCCCCTTGATCAGGGATCCAGAAGTGGTAGAGGAACAGCATGTTTACCAGAAACATCCTTTTCATTCATGGGTGCCCTGGGGCTAGATGGTACCACAAAGCCCTGCTTTCCTAGACAGAAGTGGGGATGTGCCAAAGAAGAGGCCAGGTGCAGGAGTCTGGGAGGGAAAGAAAGGCTGAGGCTGTGGAAAAAGTGACAAGCTGATGTTAACTGAGACCTGATGGCCAGCAACAAGGGTTGAGGCTGTGTATCACTGGGCATTGCCTGCCTGCTCTAAGCAGTAGCACCCCCCCCCCCCCCCCCCCCCCCCCCCCCCCCCCCCCCCCCCCCCCCCCCCCCCGCTCGTTTCAGCTACATCGGGGACTGTGAAATCAGTGTGGAGCTTCAGAAGATCCGAGCAGGTGTGAACGGCATCCAGGTGAGGGGGATGCCGTGACAGCTGCCCCAGCCCCTGCACTAGGCTCCGGGAAGTGGGATCAGCTCACACTGGAGTGTTGATGTTTGTTTTAGTACTCTTGAATCTTTGCTCTTTTGGGGAGCCCTCCACCCAGCTCCCAACTAAATCACACATGGAGCCTTATTCTTAATTATAATCACCCGGCCTTAGTTTGGGTTGTTTCTAGGCATCTTTTCTTATCTTAAATTATCCCATCTATCTAAAAGGCCCCCAGGCCTTTTCCTTTTCTTCTGTGTATCTTACTTTCATTCTTACTCCATGGCTGGCTGGGTGGCTGGCCCCTAGCATCCTCCTCTCCTTGCTCCTTGCCCTCTTCCAGATTTCTCCTTCTCTTATTCTTTCTGCCTGCCAGCCTCACCTATCCTTTTTCCTGCCTCGCTATTGGCCATTCAGCTCTTTATTAGACCATCAGTTTTAGACAGGAAAAGAATCACAGCTTCACAGAGTTAAACAAATACAACATAAACAAAATCAACACACCTTTATATCGTTAAACAAATGTTCCACAGCATAAAGGAGAGCAACACACCTTAGAATAATTTTCCACCACAACACTGGACCATGCTGTGAAGGACACAGTGGCACCAGACATGGGCTGTTGACACGGGAGCAGCTGTGAGGTCACACAGTCAGTGGTGCTGGGCTTTACTAACCTGCTGGGCCTTGGGCTCTAGGGCCACCTGTGTGTCAAGTCTCCAGAGGTTTTGTCTGCATAGGAAAGTGAGGGAGAGCCGTAGCTGGGACCCAGGTGGACCTGGAGGTGGAAATACATCTCTCCAGAGGCCGTGTGCCCATCCGGAAGTCACATCTGTGTCCCAGCCACCCCAGCTGCTCACACACCACAGTATAGTTAGTTCATGGCCTTTGGGGGGCAGCAGTGGGGTCATAGCTGTGTCCAGGTCCCCGATCATGAGCTGTGGTCCCTTCAGTGATAGCAGGTGACCTAGGCAGGAGTACCTGACAGAGGGAAGGTGGCGTGTGATAATGAAGCCACAGGGGACTGAATGGCAAGTATGGGAACGGGTTTGGTTCCCTCACAGCTCTCTGTGCCTACCAGTTGCAGGGCACCCTGCGTGTCATCCTGGAGCCCCTGCTAGAGGACAAGCCCTTTGTGGGAGCCGTGACCATATTCTTCCTTCAAAAGCCGGTGAGCTCAAAGCCTAGGGATAGGCCTGATGCCTTCCGTGAGCAGACATTGAACCTCCCATGTTGGGATTTAGCCTGAGAATGAACAGTGGTTCAGCCCAGCACAGCTGGACACCTGTGGTCCAATCCTAATTGGTCCTTAAGGCAACCTCAAGGAGTTACTGAACTGAACGAGGGCCACAAGGTCCAGAAATTTCTCTGAGACAAACCTGAGCTCGTGAGAACAGACCAACCTGGCTGTGTGGCAAAGCCCCCTTCTGTGGCGGTCCTGGCCTGAAGCAGCAGGCCTGACCAGCCTAAGCTAAGGCCTGGAGCCTTGCTCTAGTTTCATTCTGTTGTTGTGTTCAAACACTGAGCAGAAGCAGCTTATGAGAGGGCTTATTTTAGTATACAGGTAACAGTCCGTCACTGAGGGAAGTTGGGGCAGGAATCCAAGCAGAGACCTCAAGCAGAAGCCATGGAGGAAAGCTGCTTGCTAGCTCCGTCTCAGGCTTACTAGCTTTCTTATACAACCCAAGAGCACCTCCTGCCTGGGGGATGTGTCACCCACAATGGACTGGGTCCTCCCATATCAATTAACACCCAAGACACCCCCTACAGCCAGGACTGGGGGGATCCCTCAACTGAGGTCTCAGGTGGCTCTAAGGTGTGTCAGGTTAGCAGAGCTAGCTAGGACATCCTCTCTACCTCATCTGGCAATAGGTGCACCCCGGCAAATAGGGTTCTCCCTTTTGGGGGGATATGAGGAGCTTGGGAAAGGTATCAGCCTGGGTTGCCTGCTTCTTGAGCCTAGCAGCCTCCCTCTGCCCACAGCACCTGCAGATCAACTGGACGGGCTTGACCAACCTACTGGACATGCCGGGTATCAAGTAAGTGCCGGGGGTGGGGCTCCCTGGAGTCCTGACAGCTGTGAGCTGCACAGAGGCTGCATCCCCCCACCCTGTATAATGAGTGGGAAATGGGGGGGGGCAAGTACCGGTGTGTGCGCATGTGTGTGTGCTCGCGCGTGTGTGTGCGCACACCTGCAGAAAGCCAGCCCGTGGACAGGTGCACACCCTCCTGCTGACAGCTTTGCCCAGTGTAGACTGAGAGGCCAGGCTTCTTTGTCTTAAAGTTGCCCAAGCACATGCACACGTGGGGTAGAACCCTACTGTGTGTGGAACACAGGTGTGCATCCTCACACTTCACCCTTCCCCACCCCCACTGTAGTGAGATGCCCAGTTGGCCCCTGTGACATAGTTGATGTGCACAGAGATGGGAAGGGACATTTTCCCAGCAGGGGCCAGCGAGAAAGGACAGGACCAGGGGAATCTCAGCTCCCCAGGCGAGGTGCAGGCGGCCTTCAGACACCAGGTGTTCCTCAAGGCACCCAGGAGGATGCTAGTATCATTAAATCTCTCCGGGAGGCAGGGTCTCCTGGATTGGTCGGGAAGGCTATTGAATGTCTCTGCGGGCCCCAAGGACGGCCACCTATATGCTCACTGGGGATGTCCCCCTCTGATCTCATTGTTCCAAATGGAGAGAATCTGGTCTTGCACCTTTTCTCCTGTTCTTTGGAAATTCCAAAAGAGCACATAATGAAATCTCTCCACCATCCACTTTCTCCTCTGACTCTCCCCGGGCTCCCAACACATCCTCCTCCCAACTTCACGTCCTCTTTTTATTTTTATTTTAAATAACCCATAAAGTCGAGTTAATGCTGACTATATGTGCATGACTGTGGGTCCATCCCCTGAAGCATGGGAAAATCTGCCAGTGGCCACACTCTCAAGAATGGTTCTCCCTCTACCAGCAGCTGCCCATTGCCAGTAGATTTCCAGTTATTGGTGAGGCCTGGAGAGTCTCTCCCCATTTAGGCCTAAATTTTGTGTCTGCTTTGATCTTGCGTATGTTCTGCGCAGGTAACCACAGCTGCTCCGAGTTCATGAGCCTGATAGTCATGGCATGGCCAGGAGCCGAGCCTGCTAGCCATGGCATGTCCAGGAGCCGAGCCTGATAGTCATGGCATGTCCAGGAGCCGGCATTTAACCTATTGGCTCCTAAATTCTTTCCACCACCTCCTCTGCAGTGGTCCCTGAACTTTGGCAAGGGGATTGATAACAATGTCCCATTTAAGCAGCCACACACTGTTACTCAAAGAAGACTTTTTGAATAGCTGTTGTGCGCTGGTCCTGCTGATACTGTCCGACTGTGGGGGTAGGTGAGCCAAGGAATAGAGAACGCCACCAGCGTCAAGGAAGAGAAAGGTGTCAGTGGCCAGCTGTTGTCCTGTGGCCTCAGCACTGTTTTCAGTGCTGTACCCACAACTCCCTTCACATCTGTTCCGGGTGCAGCCGTTAGCAGCCCTCTATCAGGACACTGAAGTCAAGGGACGGGGACGCCCATCTAAAGCAGGGCAGCTAGGGAATATGATGGGAATCTTGACCTAGGGTCTGTTCTTAAAGCACTCTGTGTTGCCTAGGAACAAGCAGGACCTTTTTTTTTTTTTTTAAATTGGGGGTGGAGAGTGCAAGCAGGATGCTCCTCCTTGGGTCAATATGTCTAGGACACAGGATGTATATCTGTCTCGTGCCCAGCAGCTGGTCAGGAAGAGACCAGTGTTGCCTCTGGTGGAGCCTTAGTGCCAGCTCTGAGGATGAGTACAGGGGCAGGTGGCATACGGAAGCAATGTCACCCCTCCATAGCTGGTCACGCCTGATGTTTCAGTGACGTATCAGACAGTTTGCTGGAAGACCTCATTGCTGCCCACCTGGTGCTGCCCAACCGTGTGACTGTACCCGTGAAGAAGGGGCTGGATATAATCAACCTGCGCTTCCCTCTGCCCAGCGTGAGTACCGGGAGCTGGCTCGAGTGTTGGGCCAATGAGGAGGGACGCAGGCCATGGCTGGGTTCTGAACAGTGCTCACTAGTGGCCATCCTCATGGTAACCCATTTCACAGGGTGGCCCAGAGGCTGGGAAAGGTGTGTGACTTGCCCAAAGTCACCATCTGGGAAGGGGTAGCACCCATGTAGTTTTACCATGTTCCTGTCCCCCCTGTAGTTGAAACTGTAGGTAGGCACTCCATGACACCCGAGGTCCCCCTTCTTCCCTCAGGAAGGCTCCCTTGGTTCTGTGCAGTGGTGGACAGGACCTTGAGATCTACAGAAAAGGAAGGTTCTTGGTTGAACCAGGATGGGAATTCTTTGGCTCCTGAGCCCATTTTCTCCAACGTCTGGGATCCATTCATGAGACCCCCGGACATTGCCCTGTGGCTGCCCTACAAATAGTAGCACTGGCTAAGGGGCTGCAGATAGGGGCCCTGGAAGAAGAAAACATCCATTTTACTGTCCGCCAGGTGAAAAGCCGCAGGCCTTCTGCTCATGCCCAGCCTGACATATACTGCATTACATACATGAAGTTCAGGGACGTGGGCTGGCAGGGAGGCAGCGTGGATGTCCCGAGTCTTCCCATGATGGCTCACTGGCTTTCACCCACACTACATGCAGTCCCATAACAATGTAAACACCGTCTCACCAATGTAAGCGTTCCTAAAAACGTATATTCCCCTAGGAATGTCCTGACAGTTTGCAACATTAGAACTCTTTGGGGGACAGCTTCTATGTGTTTCTGGTAACTGGTCATGGATATTTACATTTATTTCATTCTGTTTTCTATGTTCAAGTTTTAGTTTTGAATTTTCTACAATTATGTAACATAGTTGTATGTTTCTAAAGGCCAATACCAAAACTGCATCTTAGGGAGGGATCCTTACTGCCTCTCGTTCCTATCCCCCAGTCCTTGCCCCGCCCCCCCACCACTAAAGTAATGGTTTTTATCCCATTGTATTTGAGTGTTAGTTAATGCAGAGACATACACAGTCATATCTGTACATCTTTGTTTATATTCATAGTCCCCGTTTCCTTTTATTTTTAGATTTTGATTAGTTCTTTGAGAATTTCATATAGTGTATTTTGGAGAGGGGCGATAACACCAAGGCCAAGAAGGTGCACTCCAGCTAGCTGGGGTGCTCCTGGCAATTGAGAGTTGCTAGGGGGAGAATTAACCTAGCAGGGCTATCACCTGACTTCCTGTCTCCCTGGAATTTTGTCTGGTTCGAGCTTGCGTAGGTCTTGGGCATGCGGTCACAATTCCCGTGAGTTCACATATGCAGCCCCCTGCTATGTCTGGAAAACACTTTCTTATAGTCATCCATGGCCTATTACAATCTTTCCACTTCCTCTTCTGCAAAGATCCCTGAGCCGGGGTGTGATCTAGATGTCCCATTTAGGGCTGAGCATTCTAGTCTCTTATTTTCTGCACCTCGGTGAGTCGTGGGTCTTTGTGTTAATCACCATCCACTGCGAAAAGAAACTTCTCCAATGAGGGCTGGGAGGTGCTCTAATATATGGGTCAAACCATAACTCGGGAGTTAGTTTAACGCCACATTCATTTAGCAGAATAATGGTAGAGTCTCCCCTGGAGCCATGGCCTGTCTAACTATAGATTCATAAAACCAGTCATAGCCCCAGGTATGAATTTCATCTTGAGGAGTGGGCCTTAAGTTCAGTCAGGAAGTGCTGTTCACTCCCATGACATCCGTTTCTCTATTGCCCCAGTGGCCGTGTATTGTCAGGCCAGTCATTGTAGCTTTCGGGGTTCACAGCCGGGGAAGGTTGCTGCCTTTCTCCCCCAGTAGCATGTATAAGGAAGTTTCCAGGTCAGTACCAGCCTAGTTTCTTTCTCCCTGTCCTATGACTAAAGTACATGATATCTTCAGCAACAGGGCTGCCTTAGTTAGGGCTTTTATTGCTGTGGAGACACCATGACCATGGCAACTCTTAGAAAACATTTAACTGGGGTGGCAGCTTACAGTTTCAGAGTTCAGTCCATTATCATCATGATGGGGAGCATGGCAGCGTGCAGGCAGACATGGTGCTGGGTATGTCTTGACATGCAGCGTATAGGAAGTTGAAAGTCACACTGTGGGGAGTTTGAGCACAAGAAACCTCAAAGCCAGTCCCACAGTGACACCCTTCCTCTAAGGAATTCACACCTCCTAATGGTGCCTCTCCGTGGGGGGGGGGGGATTTTCGTTCAAATTACCACAAGGGTCTTTCAAATCCTGGAGGGTACAAGAGCATTGGCAGTAATTACGTTGGCCTGTAATGTTTGGGAGTCTGTGAGGACAGTTCCAATAGAGGTGAAGTATATACATCTGTGAAGTATAGTAGAGACATTGCCCCCTACTGTTATAGGGCAACTCCATTTAAGTGTGTGTACATGTGTTAGGAATCTTCTACAGTAGCATAGGCCTTAAGTGGTAGTTATCATGGTCCCCATTTCTTTGAAAGATGTTAAGTGTATTATTTTCCTTCTCTGCTTTTATTGCTAACTGTATCACAGAACCCCACTGCCACGGTACAGATAGTCTTCCACATCTGCGCTGATGGCTGCATAGCCCTTCACTGTGGGAGGTACTGTCACTGCACCACCAGCCTTGTTGATGGACAGCCAGGCTGTGTCTGGCCTTTGCTGCTGCAGATGACAGTGCAATGAGCAGCCTGTGCACGGATCTTTGTTTTTTGCCAGAAATCTAAGAGTAGATTTCTCAAGGTTGTTTTGGAGATCAAAAAAATGTATATGTTAAAAAAGTGGCATACCCTAAGATTCAGGAACTGTGACTTTCCTTTTTTTTTTTTTTTTTTTTTTTTTTTTTTTTTTTTTTTTTAAACAGTGGGAGTGTGGGGAAAGGGTCTGCCCTGTGGTGGATGATACTTGAGGCATTTTTTTATGCATACAGCGACCTACCACCAGTGCAGGCAGGCCCACAACATGCTGCCTGAAGTATCCCTAGCTTTCAGTTTATGTATGTACAGTTTTCCAGCAGTGCTGAAGGAGGAGGAGAAACCCTGAACCAGCCGTTCATGTTGAGTCTAGAGAAGAGTGTGGGAAGGCCAAAGCCTTGGGTAGAGCAGTAGACCCTGCCACCAGTTGCTGTGAGGCCTTGGCTCGGTCACTGTTATCTCTGGCTGCAGTCTCTGTCCAACAGTGACCTCTGGTGGCTTTGGTCCTGGGATCCTGGACTTGAGGCTGCACCCCAAGGAGGCAGTTGTGACCTGGGGCTTGGGTGTTTCTCAGGGGGTGATCAGAGTCCATTTGCTGGAGGCCGAGAAGCTGGCCCAGAAGGACAACTTCCTAGGGCTTGGAGGCAAGTCAGACCCATACGCCAAGGTGAGCATTGGCCTGCAGCACTGCCGGAGCAGGACCGTCTACAAGAACCTGAACCCCACCTGGAATGAAGTGTTCGAGGTGAGGTTCTCTTCCATCTGTCTTGGAAGGCCTCGTGTCTCCAGGCTTCTCCCTGGGCTGTGCTGAGCAAGTGGCTCTCATGGCCCAACAGGGAAACCAGGGTTAGTGGGAGAGACTTGTTATTCTTGCTTCCCTGTCCAGCAGGCTCAGAGGTAGGCTCTTCTCACCCCATATTAAGCTCCCTTTCCCCACCAGAACTGGCTGTGGATGTTTGCAAATGGAAGGAAAAGAACAGTGCAGACAGTTCTGCCCACAGCTCCCAGCCTTCCCTGCTGCGGGGTGGGTGCAACTCACAGCCCGTCAGTCACACGTTCCAGGGCCACCTCCCAGCTGCCCCTTTCCTTACAACGCTAGGGCATGCTGTTAGGTCTGGTCCCCGGCAGTAGAAGCAGGCTGACTAAGGGAAGCTTAGTTTCCTGCTGTCGTCCCACAGCCCCCGGGTGAGGAGATTGTGACTGCACAAAGGCAGAGCAGATGGCAGCCAGTGTCCTCTGGGCACCACGCTGTGGCATGGTTGTGCTGTATCTGGTCCTCTCTGCTTGCCTACAGAGGGGCATTGCTTTCTTACAGGCAGGGCCCTAAGCTGGGCTTTTGCTGTCTGTGGGTTTTAGATCTGATTCAGCAGTCAAGACCTGCAGGGCAAGATGCTTCTCTCTCCTTGCAGTTCATGGTGTACGAAGTGCCTGGGCAGGACCTGGAGGTGGACCTGTATGACGAGGATACTGACAGGGATGACTTCCTGGGCAGGTGAGGAGTGGGGATCTGGGCTTTGGACCTTCTTTACTGCCTGGGGTACAAGGCTGGACCTTGGAGCATTTAGTGGGCATAGACCTCAGTGCTTAGTGACCTGCGACTCTATGGCTACCGTGGCAACAGTGAGTGAGTGTGCCAGGCAATCTGCTCTAACATTGTACAGTCTGGTTACAAACCTTCCCAGGCATCACCAGCCCGGACCTAGGCCCTGGAGGAGAGTAGCGGTACAGAGAGGACCCCAGGGCTCATGTCCCCACTCAGAATCTACCCAGAATCCCAATTGGAACAGGGAGCAAGGTGGCATGACTAGGTGCTCAACTTTAAGGAGCCTTCATCACTCCCCATGTGATGACATCCAGATCTCAAGGCTATGGGAGGGCTCACATGAACCCTGTGGGATTGCTTGCCAGAATCTCACTTAGTCTAGAGAGGCCCCGCATTGAGGAACATGTATAGGTACCAGCCCTTAAAATGCTTACTGCCCAAGTCTTTGTGGCCACCCAATGCCCTCCTGTGGAAGACTCTAGCTGAATGTTTGAATACATCTACCTAAGGATTCAGTGTGGGGCCATCGTGGTGTGCTAGCGAGTAGAGAAGGGCACAGCGCAGCTGGATTCCGCCTCCCACAAGAGGGCACAAGATGCCTGTGTCTGTGAGCAGAGGAGCATGACCGGGTGACGTAGCGGCAGGTGAAGAGACTCAGATCTTATGCCCCTGTAGTATGCAGCTTGTTTTCCTGAGTATGGAGTTGAAATATGAACAAATAAATGGAGGACTCAGCTCCCCGCCCAGTGCTGGTCATTTCTGGTGTCTTCATGGTGTAGTATTGCGGGTGGGAAGTGGGGCTCACAGCACTTGCCTTCCAGGGCTGAGTTCAGGTCCGTGTTGAATGTGTGCACACTTCCAAGTCACACGGGAACTGTTTCTGCCCTTGGGCTGGCAGGACCCATGGGTTGGATTTGGGTCATGATAAGTTAGAGGAACACTATGATACAAGACTTCCTGGCTTCCTCACACATAGATCATCAGTTAGTGCCACTTCCAGGGCACTGGTACCAGTTTTCAAGTCAGAGGGGCATCTGACTGTTAAAGTGCCACTGGCATTTAGATGGCACAGGAAGCCAAATTCCTGTGACTCATGGACAGGTTTGCACAATGAAGAATCACCGCACTCAACATGCTAACAGCCGTATTAAAAGACCCAGAGGTGACGAATCCAGACCTCTGCTTGTCCCCTCTGGGCTGGGAGCCACTCCCTCCCCACAGCCTAAGTGCAATGGAGCAGAAGGTTAGCTAGCCTTTCCCTCCTCATGAGCTGCAAATGGTCTCTCACTGTTTACCTGGAGGAATGAGGCCACTGTCCCAATGGCCACATCCAGCCATTTGAGAACAGAGTTCCCTGTGGGTCCCCAGGGCCTGCTCTGGCCACTGTTGAGCTCACCCTCTCCTTTCCTTTCAGCCTGCAGATCTGCCTTGGAGATGTCATGATGAACAGAGTGGTTGATGAGGTAGGGTGGCTCGCCCAGCACCCTTCCCCCGGGAACACCCCCTTTCAGTGCATGGCTCTAGCAGGTCACTTCGGCCATCTGGCCCTATGTGACGGGTCCCCTCTGTGCAGGGCTGTACCCATACCCGTTCTCAGGGACAAGAATTGGGTGAGGCCCAGATGGCTACAGGGCACCCCGTAGGGCTGGGGTTAGAAGTTTCTTTGGGAAATGTCCACAGACTAAGGAAACTCAGCAAGGGGAGTCACATTATAGAGGAAGGTAGGCTAGCCCTGGGTTTCATTGTCCCCAACTGTAAGACTCCTGCCCCGCATCTGCCAGTCCCACTGCATCTGCCGTGCCCTCTTCTGGTTGGTTAACCGTTTCCCCTAATCTCAAAACTATGCAGTCCCCAGGTTGTCGGTAGCCCATCTCCATCCCTGAGCTCTCCTTTCCTTCCTCTGCCCCACAGTGGTTTGTTCTCAGTGACACCACCAGCGGGAGGCTGCACCTGCGGCTGGAGTGGCTCTCCCTGCTCACGGACCAGGAAGTGCTGCTGGAGGTGAGTGGGTGGCAGGGGAGGAGACTCGCTTCTACCTACTGTGTGCAGGCAGAGGCGAGAGGAGGGAGCCCCCATTTGTTGTCTCCTAGAGAACATGTCACTCATGTTCTCTCCACCGGGCAGTCAACAGCCTCTGAACCTCATTTTCAGGGAAGATGGGGTCCTTAGAGCTGTGTCAGGGCTTGCCACCCAATTTCACAGGGACATCTACCTCTGTGTCTGACGTGAACCTATCCTGCCGTAATGTGTTCTCAGTCACATAAAGCTAGGTTGTTAGCGGGAGGGCTGGCTGGCTTCCTTCTGCCGGATTCTGGGAATATTCAGTGAGGGCTGTGTCTGTTTGCAGGACCATGGTGACCACTCCTCCGCCATCCTCGTGGTCTACTTAGAAAATGCCTGCAACCTGCCGGTGAGTCACAGGACCCAACTGCCCTGTGCAGCTCACAGCCAGATGCCCATGTATTGTTTTAACTCAAATTCTTGTGCTGCAGAGAAACCCTTTTGACTACCTTAATGGTGAATACCGAGCCAAAAAACTCTCCAGGTTTGCCAAAGTAAGTGAATATCACTGAGAACCTGACTCCTTTCCCCTGAAGTGACTGTAGCCAGGACCTGTCTGTCACATAGCATGGGCTCACTGGGTCTCCTGTGCAAGGCACTAGACTTGGCCTTGGAGTCCCATAGTGATGTATTCCAGGTGTTCTTGTTTTGGGCAAGAGTGATTGCGATTTTATAAAAAGGACACAGAAGGTGGGGGGCCTGGGCATGTCTGTCCTAGTTCTGGTCTGCACTCGGGGCTTCCCCCCCAGAGGTAGTTCTGCACAGTGCTCATTCCACAGTGCAGATTTTCCCCAACAGGAGCCACGGCTGCCCTACACCCACTGGCATGCTTGGGGGAGGGGTGAGCATTGGGAAAGGTGAGATGTCTTGGGCCCTGCCCTGAAAACATTGCTTTCAACACTGTGGGTTTCCCCTTACAGAATAAGGCCAGCAGAGACCCTTCTTCATATGTCAAGCTATCCGTAGGCAAGAAGACCTTCACAAGTAAGGTAAGACTCATTTGTAGACTGAGATAAGGAAATGATGCTCCCGCCCCCTTTTAAGGAGAGGCAGAGTGAAGGAAACTCACACTGAATGCCTAGAAAGCCTTTGGAATCCCCTCCCTGTGTGGGTTTGGCATTCACAATCTAAAACCTGCCACGCTAAGTGATGATGATGCCACCAAAAATGGGGCAGCAGGATTAGGGTTTACCCTGGGGCATGGTCTGAAGTCATGCCTTTTCTGCCACACTGACTGTCCCCTGGCTCCTCATGGCAGTGGGTCGTCACACTGAGCAGAGTATGTCCAACCTGGCCCTCAGATGATCTCGTTTCTGCCCACAGACCTGTCCCCACAGCAAGGATCCTGTGTGGAGCCAGGTGTTCTCCTTCTTCGTGCACAGTGTGGCAGCCGAGCAGCTCTGCCTGGAGGTTTGCCTGAAGTTGGGCTCTGGGGACAGCTGAGAACATTTTAGGCCACGGGCAGGCGAGGGTTTTCTGTGTCCCTTGGGCAGTTCTACCAGTAGTCAGCCCCCCAGTGTGTTGGGAGGGAATGAGGCCCCACACGCCCTCAGCCCCTTGAGGTTAGTGCCCAAGGTCACCATAGAGGAGACTGTGGGAAGGCAACCAGTTAATTTCTTTAGTTCTCCTTGCGATGATCATTATAGTTACGCAGTCTGAGGGTCCCGGGCTAGAGTCTAGACTTTACAAAAGATCTGCACAGGCGCAAATAGAGGCTAAAGCAACCATCTGCCCAAGAGCACTGTAAGTGCTGGAGCTGGGTGGGATCATTTTGGAGCCCTGAACTGATGAGCCTAAGTGCCCTACCATACAGCCATACAAAAGCCCTGCTGGCTCTGGGTGCATGCCAGACTGGCCTCATGCAGACTACAATCACCTCTGCTCTAGTCACTCCCTTCCCTAGACTCCAGGCAGGTACAAGGTCTGGCCTGTTGCCAATCCGCCTGCTGAAGGGCACCAGATGTTAACTGCTCCATAGTGCATACTTCCTGAAGCACAGACTCCCCATAGTGGGCTTAGCTCTCCCCTGGTTTTGTGACTGGTCCACTGCCCAGGTGCTGGATGATGACCTGGAGTGCGCCCTGGGAGTATTGGAGTTTCCACTGTGCCAGATCCTCCCCTGTGCCAACCTCACCCTTGAGCAGCGCTTCCAGCTGGATCACTCAGGCCTGGACAGCCTCATCTCCATGAGGCTGGTGCTTCGGGTAAATACCTCCTTTCTCAGCGGGTGGGGCTGAGCTGGAACAGGTCTCAGCACTGAGTGAGTTATCTGTTGAATGCAGAAGTCAGGAGAGATGTTTGTGTCTTCATCTACTCATTGGGTTAACGCATTAGAGATAACCTCAGAGTTCCTTCCTTGATGTTGCACTATGGGATGAAAATTTAACAGGCTGAGTACACAGTAGGGTAGCGGTTTAAATATAGTCTGAAATGCTCTTAAGGGTATTATTAACTTTGCTGTGAGGTCTGGCAAAGTTCAGTCTCTTTGGGACCGAGAGATATTTTCATAATACCATCTCTTTGTTGCTTCAAACACTACCTCCTCCATTCATTTAACCCTCCCTTCTAGAACTTCCATGCTAGATTTTTCTTCTATCCTTGATCCATGCCGCAACCTTATCTTCTAGTCTCAGCTAATTTCCTCAGAACCATCCTCCTTACCACTGCATTTTACTATGTCTGGCTTACTACTTTTTCAGAATAGTTTGTATTTCGATAGTAATTTTTTTCATCTTTAATTTCATCTCTTCCGAATCACATGGTCTTTTTTATCGTCTATATTCCCAATCCATCCTTAGTCATTTAAAATGTTTAGAGTGTAATCTGTTAATTCTGTTGTCTGAAGATTTTGGGAGTTTGGGAGTAAAATTTTTTTCCATGTTAGATGGAAAACCTTGGCTTCATAAAAAGGTTTGAGGGAGATACACTGTCTGCAAGCACAATACCCAGTCTTAATAGTCTGATCCACGAGAGGATCCTGGCAATGAATTTTGCTGTTTATCTCATCTGTTTTCAGTGGGACTGTTTTGTGGCTGTCATGAGTGTGGTCAGTGCTCCTTGATGGCCTGGATCAAAGGATCAAAGGCTGCTCTCTGCCAGGGAGGGTTAGCTTTGTATCTGGCAGAATACCACAGGGCATTTCAAACCTAGATCCATTGTTATGTTAACTTAATGGGTTTAAAAACCCATTAGGAAATCTGAATATAAACTAGAAACTCCTAATACTTCTATAAGATGGTCTGTTTGGGGAAGACTTTCCCCCTAACAAGCTGAGACAGATACCTCTTGTTAATCAATCTTTGCTGCTTGGTAGAATTTTTATTCTAGACTACTTTTTTAAATGAATATATTTCAGTCCCACATTTATTTCTGGAAACAGAATTCCCTAGGAAAGGGCTTGTTGATTGACATCTGAGGAGAAAGGGGAAGGGGGAAAGTGGAAGCCCTGCCTACAAAAAACCCTGTCATCTGCTTCTAGTTCTTACGTGTGGAGGAACGAGAACTGGGAAGCCCATATACTGGGCCCGATGCTGTAAAGAAAGGCCCTCTGTTCATCAAGAAGGTGGCCACCAACCAGGCTCACAAAGCTCCATCCCAGGGAGAAGGCCCTGCAGATGTGACACATGCCTCGGACCTTGCCTCTGACATCAAGGGAGCATCCAAGAGCACTGAAACCACCACAGCTGTCACCAAGGCCACAGAGCCTAAGCCCCCAGAGACAAGCCTGGAGTCGAAAGGCAAGGACAGTGCCAAAGGGCTCTGTGAGTTCATGGGGAAGAAGAGGAACCCAGCTACCATCTTCCTGACTGTCCCAGGCCCCCACTCTCCAGGGCCCATCAAGTCACCCAGACCCATGAGCCGCCCTGCCTTCCCATTCGCATGGCCACCCACAAGGCTGGCTCCCAGCATGTCCTCACTCAACTCCCTGGCTTCTTCCTGCTTTGACATGACAGATGTCAGCCTCAACATTGAGTATGCATCTCTCTGCTTGATCTTTTCTAATATAACTTGAGTGAAAAGTAGGTCCTTAGATGGAAGAGTAAATAGGAAATTACAGGCCGGCCCAAGTCCAGGTTTCTCACAACATGTCTTTACAAGAGGCAGCTTGAACCCTGTTGTTGGTATACAACTCTCGCTATATGATGACTTCAGTTGTTTAGGTCCCTTCCATAGAAACGTTTTCTGAATTCTGAGTATCGTGGGATACATGGAAAATTTAGAATGTGGACTTACATAAGTGACTCCACGTATTAGGTACTTCCTGTGGGCTTAGCGCATTACCTGATTTAATTCAGTCATTATAACTATAAGACAGAAGAGACCATTATAACATCCCAATTCCCTCAAACCCCACAAGCAATCAGGATATAAGGGCCAATCCATTCCAGGGTTTATTTATGCTTTCTGCTAAGAAGTAGGATAATTACACTGAATGCTGGATGAAACCTGGAAGAGAATTATTGACCCAGATGAGTCTGTGTTCCTCACATCGGGCATCCTTCTCTATCTTCAGGTGAAGGGAGAGGAATAGTTCTTACTGTGACAGCCCCCCCCCCCTTTTTTCCCACAGAGATGGGGATCCTAGGCAGCGACGGCTGGGTGAGATTCAGCTCACAGTACGCTATGTGTGTCTTCGACACTGTCTCAGGGTGCTAGTCAACGGGTGCAGGTAAAGAGATCCTGGGACAGGGAGGTCTTTGGAAGTATCAGGCGACCATATGACAGGGCTCCTTAGGGTGACGGCAGGAGCCATGCACTCCTAAATGATATTTGAGAACCTACAAGCCATCCGCGGCAAAAATCCTCAAAGGGGCATGTTGAGTGACCATTCTTTGTTGGTGTGCATGGGCTCAGGAGTCAAGGACTCTTCTCAGACTGCTGTCTTGGGGTGGCCAATGGCAAGTAGGTCTTCCTAAGCAGGAACCCCCAAATTCCTTGAGTACAAAATACTTGACTCTACCCAAACAGCACAAAAATGTGTGTTCAAAACAAAACCACAGCTCATAGCTCGTCCTTTAATTCTGTGGGTTTTTGTCTTTTGAATGCGGAGAATTTTAATCCTCCAGTCCATCTAATCCCCAGTGGCTGGTATAGCCTTCTCCCAAATGAGTATCTAAGAACCCCTTTTCTCTGTCCATCAGAAACCTGACACCATGTACCAGCAGTGGAGCTGATCCCTATGTTCGCATCTACCTATTGCCTGAAAGACGATGGACGAGTCGCAAGAAGACCTCAGTAAAGCGCAAGACCCTGGAGCCCCTATTTGATGAGACGTTAGTAGGGCAGGGCTTAGCAAACCTCATCTATTTTCATAGTACTGAGTACCAAACACTAGCATTATGCTGGAGCTTGCCAGATACGGGGGTGGGGGAGCCTGGGGCTGAGTTGGACAGGACAATGTGGTCTGGCCTCATGAAGCCCCTATATACTTTTTAGTGGGAAAAGGGGCTGCTATGGCAGTTTATCCAAAAATGATCAAAGCTGCTTACATGTGCTATTTTTAAGAGGATAAAATGTTCCTGGTGGTGGAATAGCACATACTCTCAGCTCTCTGGTCTCTCTTCCCTCCTGCAACATAACAAGGTTGGCAGGTAAAAGAGATTCTTTCTCTTCGTCTACATCTGAAGACAAAACTGAGGCAGGCTTTTAGCACATTTCTTGTGTTTGATGATCTAGTCCAGTGGTAGCAAATCCTTACTTTTTTTTAATGTGTATTCCATGTCTGTAATAGTACCTGCAGAGTCCAGAAGAGGGTCTGGATCCTCTGCAGCTGCAGTTACAGATGGTCTTGAGGTACCTGATGTGGGTGCTGGGAATTGCGCTTCAGCCCTATGTGAGAGTAGTGTCTTAGGCTTCTATTGCTGTGGAGAGACATCATGACCACGGAACTCTTATAAAGGAGAACATTTAAGGGGTGGCTTACGTTTTCAGGTTTTTAGTTCATCATGGTGCGACGTGGTGCTGGAGAATGAGCTCAGAGTCCTACATTTTGATTCATAGGCTACAGGAAGTGTCTCTCTCACTGGGTGTAATGTGACCAGAGGAGACCTCAAAGCCCACCCCCATGGTGACACACTTCCTCCAACTAAGTCACACCTCCTAATAGTGCCACTCCCTTTGGGGGTTATTTTCGTTCAAACTGAACAAGCAAGTGCTCTTAACCACTGAGCCACTGTATTCTTGCTATCTTCTGCTTTGCAGTCCTCAGACAAGACATTTCTAGCCAGGTTGGGAACATGACTTTTCTTTTCCTCTTATTTTAATCAATCATAACTACTCTAAACAGCTGAAACCAAGTCCTCTTTAGTCTCTGTCCTCAGCAAGAAGGCTCATCCAACAGTCACTGAACACTCTGCCAGCCACACCATCCATAGCCACGCAAGTGGGCACTGCCTTGAAGGGGAGCTCTGACACAATTATACAAAGATGTTAAAATGGCTACAGAAGAACACAGGAGGGAGTATCTGACTAGCAAGACAATCTGCCAGTCATTCTCTCTAAAACTTACAACAGGGTGAAAGCCAGGGTTATCTGAAGGCAGACTGAACAAACCCCACCCTAAATAGAAACCCAGAAGTCAGGTTCCAGGTGCCTCTCTGATGAGGCTGATGAAGACAAGGCTGGTCCACAGTCCTCTGAAGGACAGTCATTTTCCATGCAGTTCCAGCGAACCTACCTCATGAGCACCCTGCTCCTCTGCTGTCAGAACAGAGAGGGGTGAGGTGTCCTCTGGGTGGGTGCAGATGAGAGCAGTCAGTGTAGAGTCAGGACACAGCACATTCCAGACAGCAGCTCTCTGAGGCTCATCACAAGCAGTCTCTTGACACTTCATGGATTTAGATGACATGTCACTTGGGAGCCTAGGAGCCAGTGCTGAGTCTGTGAACTGTTGAAAGCTCTTGTTTTAGTGGGAAGTGAAAGAAACTTTTCCGCAAAAGTGACTACATGTAAATCTCACTTTGAATGTTTTGGCTTTTAAAGATTTGAATATTTTGTTCCTATGGAAGAAGTACAGAAGAGGTCACTGGATGTTGCAGTGAAAAACAGTAGGCCTCTTGGCTCACACAGAAGAAAGGAGCTGGGAAGAGTAAGTAGCTGTCATTTCCTTCCTTGTATCCTAGCACCTGATGGAATCATTCCAATTTCATGAGAGCTGAACTGAAGGAGGGCCAGCCTCCTTAAAAGGACGTTTTGTTTTCATATATGTAGTATGAGGATGTGGGCCGTGTCCCACCGCCTGGCCTGCTTAACCCCCGAAATAACCACACAGAAATTGTATTAATTAAATTACTGCCTAGCCCATTATATCTAGCCTCTTCTTGGCCAACTCTCACATCCTAATCTAACCCATTTTCATTAATGTGTATTGCCACTTAACTGTGGCTTACCCACATGAGTCTAACCAGCGTCCGTCTTGGGCAGGAGAACCATGGCATCTGCCACTCTGTTCTTCCCAGAATTGTGTTCTGTCTTCCCCGCCTACTACCTGAGATCCCCCCTATCAACTAGACCAAGGCAGTTTCTTTAATAATCAATGAAAGCAACACAAAATACAGAAGGACCTCCTACACCACATATGTTTCAGACCTAACATAGAAATATAAACTAGTGCATAAACATTATTTAGCAACCTTGAGAATATCCAAATTCAGTTTTTTGTAAGTATGTGGCATCTACTCTGGTATTACCTATTTTTATAAATAAATCATTAAATAAAACTTGGATTGCATTAGATCAAGGTTTCTGTGTTAAAAGAATTTTACTTAAAATAAGAGGAAATATAATCTCAGGAGAGTCAAGAATACTCCGTTTGTCCAGTACTGTAGTTATATTTTAATAACTACGTTCTGCACTCAATCTCTGTAACACCCACTTCTATGAAATGGCAGTATTTTCTGCCTTTGAAGCAGATGGTATTATGCTCATTTTTATGGGGGAAGTTTTCTTCTTTATCACAGCCATAAACTTGAAAGTTAAACTTTTAAAATATCTGTAATTCTTGAAGATATTCTTTAAATATCTCAAATTCCTGTTTCAAACAGGAACAGCTTTTGTTTTGTTTGAGGCAGAGTCTCACTATGTAGCCCTGGCTGGCCTCATTCTGCCTCTGCCTCCTGAGTGCAGGGTAGAAATAGTTATCTCTAGAACACCTACGCTGGTGTTTGCATTCTTTCTGGAAAGTCTCCATGATGAAATACCCTGATGGGCGGATGGGGGAGGGGTTCAGAGAGCCCCACCCATAGTTGAGGAGCTATTGGTAGTCAATAGCTGCCGGAGGGGGACTCGTTCTTCTTTTTGGGCATGGCTGCTGGTAGGTTGCCTGTGGTCCATACTATGCACATATGAACAGCACTAACTGGATTTAGTGGGTTATTAAAAAAAAGAACATGATGCTGGGATGAGGCATACGGCAATGCTCTAGTGGGAGCTGGAGAAGGGAAATGAGGCATGTGTGGGTATGATTGTATTTAATTGAATACATGTATAAAATTCTCAAAGGATACATTTTTTTTAAAAAAATACCCTGCTGAAAAATGAGACCCTTTACACTCAGCCCAGTTTACTCCAAAGTGTTCCCATTTAACACGGTGCTAATATTTGTGATTGTAGGTACTGATTGACTTATCAAAAGAAGATCTGATTAAGGGTTTTTCACAGTGGTAAGTGTGCCTTCTCCTTATCCCTGTTAACTATGGAGGACACTAACTCCAGCAGCTGCCCTGGTCTCTAGAGTTCTTTTACTTTCAGTATTATTTCAGTGCTTTGGTTTCTAACAAAAGGAGACAGAGTAACCCTTTACTCAGGTATTATGGACTATAGTCTGCCTGGTCCTCTGAAACTGGGAGATGCTGGCCAGGATTAATTCTACAGACAGTTGGGTTCTGCCGTCTCCATGGAAACCGTGCATGCTGCTTGTCTTGCTGCAGCCCCACATCCTCATTACTGACACAAGTCCAAACCCGACTGTCTTACAGGTACGAGCTGACTCCAGACGGACAGCCCAGGAGCTGACGATGGGTGCTATCACCAAAATGTCAGAAAGTGTATGCATGTATTTTGTTAATAAGAACACATATTTGATGGAAGTGGATGCTGTGTGAACTCTAACTGCATGACTGGATAGTAATGGGGATCATGTAGAAGTACAACTATCTCTTAATTTGATTAGTTCAAATTCAGAAACTGTGGTATTGGTGTCTAATGAGGCACCAAAACCCCAGCAGTGATTTCTCGCTTTGGTAATTGTTCACATCGCATTTAGAATTGCCTAAAGGGTGTGCAAGAAAAGTGCCCTCTCTCCAACACAGGGTTGGGTTGGGGCAGCTACCAGCATCCCCGGCAGGTCTGACCAAAGGAGGCCACTCTTGTGGAAATAAAAAGTGACCAAACCAGGGCTGGAGAGATGGCTCAGCGGTTAAGAGCATTGCCTGCTCTTCCAGGGGTCCTGAATTCAGTTCCCAGCAACCACATGGTGGCTCACAGCCATCTGTAATAAGGTCTGGTGCCCTCTTCTGGTGAGTAGGCATACACACAGACACAACATTGTATACATAACTAAAAGTAACCAAACCCAAAACTGCCCAGAGCTAACACTGCCAAAGCCCTTCTGGTTGCTGCCTGTGGTGCTCATAAGCCTAGACGTTTGCCCCTGGTTCACTGGAGCTGACAGTGTTAGAGTGATACCCTTAAGTATTCCACGTTTACTGCTCCGGGAAGGCCTAGGGGCAAACTTCTGGCATGTGGCATTATTTTCATAGGAAGCTTTAATCCTAACCCCAAGCATCTGAACTCTGGGTGCTGGAGGCTGCAGAACAGTAACTTCCCAGGAGGAGTGGGGGCTTTCTGTATTTCTCACAGATAAGTTTGAGACTTAGTTCTGAGATGGCTGAGTCACCCTGATATACATATTAAAAGGAAAATATGTAAATTGTATATTTAAACAAGTGCCTTTTACACATTTCAGTTTGTAAGACCGGACTTTTTTGTTCTTATACGTTTCTTGGGTGATTGTCAAGGCCACACCCTTATCTTTCACCCACTCAGGCAATATTGCCTGCCATGTTCCTGTTGTCTTCAGTGATGCTTTTCTTTATTATTATTCTGTGTATGATGTGAGCAGGAGGTGTATATGTGTCACGGCACATGTGGTTAAAGGACAACTTTGTGACAGAGATGGTTCTAACCCTTTATGTAGTTTCCGGGCAAGCTTGCACAACAAAGCACCTTAGCCACTGAGCCATCTCGCAGGCCCTTCTCTGATGCTCTTCTAAAGAATGGCGACAGTTGGGTATGGTGGCACATGGCTTTCAACCCAGCACTGGGAGGCAGATGGACCTCTGAGTTTAAGGCCAGCCTGGTCTACATAGTGAGTTTCAGGCTAGCCAAGGCTACAAAGTGAGACTGTGTCTCAAAAAACCAAAAAAACAAAAAAACAAAAACAAAACCCAGCAACATTCCAACTAGATATAGTGGCTACTCCTGTAATCCTAGCACTTGGGAGGCTAAGGCTGGCCTGCCTGGGTTAAACAGCAAGATTCTGTCTCAACAGAAGAAAACAACAGTATTTATTATAGTGTGTAATATTCATAGCTCTGACTCACCTGCCAAATGTGAGACAGCCTGGTCTTTGGTTTCTGCTGCTATAGTCCTGTGCAGATGTGTGTTCAGCAGCATCCTGAGAACAGAGTAGTCCAGATACTGTATCATCTTTTCCAATGGCCAGTCCATACTGCAATAGCCTCTTCCTGTGTAGCGCTTTCCACTTGAACAATTCTTGGTGTTGTTTACAAGCTCTACTAGGTCACATGCTAAGCAACTACATGTTTTAGTTTGTATCTCAACTGAACTGTAGACTACTTGATGCATAATAAAGTTTTTGCAGCTATTTCTCTTGTGTGTGTGTGTGTTATGTATGTGTGTAAAAAAGAGACTAGAGGATGCCCCTCCCCCTTTTTTCTTTGAGACAGGATCTCTCACTGGCCCAGAACTCATCAAGTAGGCTAGCTTGGCTGACTAGTGAACCCTAGGGACCCAAATTCCCACCCTCCCGGTGCTAGGAACATAAGATGTACTGCCTTACCTGTTTATTGTTATGTTGATTAACGTTGAGTTCTGAGACTCAAACTCAGATTCTTGTATTTGCAAGACACCTACTTTTATGACTGAGCCAACTTCTCAGCCTGATATTTCTATTTTAAATAACAAATTCTCACAATAAAATATGGCAATTGATATTCACCTTACCTCATGATGACATTATTTCTTCCTAAATAGACACGGGAAAGCAGCAAAAGGAAGGAGAAAGGAATGTATCATAAATACTACCCACCCTAAAACTGATGGTGGCAGAAAGGGGAACGCCTACCAGTCCCCCAAACCCATGACTACCTGGTATATTACTCACTTTTCTGTTGCTGTGATAAGCTGCCATGACCAAAGCACCTTATAAAAGAGTTCATTTTAGCTAACAGTTCTAGGAGTTCTATAATGACAGCATGGCAGCAGGCATAGGAAGCCAAGAGTTCACTCCTTGGACTGAAAGCACAAACCAGAAACAATGGATGACAAGTAGGTTGAGGCCTCAAGCTCTCAAAGCTGATCCCAGTGAAGTTCTTTCCAAGGCTGCACCTCCTAAATCTCTCAAGCAGCACCACCAACTGGTGACCATGAGTTAAAACCTCTTGGGGATATTCTCACTCAAACAAGTAGACCTAGTTAAATAATGAACACGGTGACATTTCTCGTGCTGATTTACAGAGAAGAACTGAAGCAGTGTGCAGGAGTCAAAGGAGGTTACAGCATGGGAAACAATGTCAGCATACACCGAGGAGAGGCGCCATGCGAGCATACAGACCAGGCGGCAGCAGTATGTAGAACAGCTGATCTCTGCTATTGGAGAGAAGGGTCTGACCATACACAGAGCCAAGCCGGTGTGAAAACTCCCCCAGAACCTGGAACTCTGTGGAGCTTTGATAGCCAAGTACAAAACTCACACTTAAGGTTGCTACTATAAGACATGAAGCTTAGGGAATATCAAATTGAATGATGGTCGCAAAGTATCAGCAAGGAAAACATACCAGTTAGGCTGATAATGTATTCAAGTCCTCATGGGAAAAACTACAGATGAGTAAAACTTAAAAATCCAGGAGGCATGATACCTTTAACCCAAGAACCTGGAAGACAGAAGCAAGCAGATCTCTGAGTTCAAGGACAGTCTGGTCTACAAGCAAGTTCCAAGATGGCCAGGGCTACACAGAAAAATCTTGTCTCAAAAAAAAAAAAAATAAAATAAAATAAAAAAAAAAATATATATATATATATATAACTAGGGTTGGAGAGATGGCTCAGGAGTAAGAGTGCATATTGCTCTTACAGAGACCAGAGTTCAGCTCCCAGAGCCCAAGTTGGATGCCTCTAGGACAGTGGTTCTCTACATGTGGGTTGCAGCCACTTTGGGGGGCAAATGACCCTTTCTTAGGGGTTACCTAAGACCATCAGAAAACACAGATATTTATATTATGATTCGTAACAGTAGCAAAATTACAGTTATGAAGTAGCAATGAAAATAACATGAGGAACTGTATTAAAGGGTCACAGCATTAGGAAGGCTGAGGACCACTGCTCTAGAGGATCTGATACCCTCTACTGGACTCACCTGTACCCACACATACACATACACCTCCCAACCTCCATATGTACACAGAACATCCTACAAAGAGACATATACATGGATGTACAGCAGACCGTTGCAGAGAGAGGGCCATGGCTGTAGAAGCAGTGCCTGGGAGCGTGAGTTCTCAACGTGAGGTGGTCAGTTACTTACACTTTCAGCTTCAGGTCATCTCTAAAGTAGCACTGACACTGGACTTGAACAACAGAGGGCAATGGAGGGCTACTGCAAGGAGAGAAAAGGAAGACAGCAAGCTGTTCTCTGATCAACAGTTTTCTTTAGCTGAATGGTCTGGGGGCATAATTTACTGGTAGCTCATGCTCCCAGGTTCTGTGTTAGCAACAGTCTGCCATCTTCAGATTCTTAGCTAAGTGGATTGAGTAGTCCCCATGGCAGCTGCCTCTGAGGTCTGAAGCAGCTCAGCAGAGGTGCTTAGCTGTTTCATTCCCTGTCTGCTCTCTTTTAGCTCTGGGAGGTAGTGTTTTCTTTCTCAAATTGCTGCTCAGTACTCTTATTAAGAGTCTCTTCCTTCACCACCTCCCCTTTCAGTAGTCAAACACCTTTTATGAGTAATTCTTATATTAAGTTTTCATGTACAATGTGGCTTCTGTCTACTGGATAACAAAGTATATATTCAAAATTTTATGATGACCAACAAAATAAAGCAACAAAAACACAACTGGAACATGAAACTTCCAAATCAGTAGTGAAGGAGATATTGTAAAGAAAAAGTAACCACCTCCAAGTGAGGAGAGAGGAATACACAAGAAAACATAGAAAACACAGGATGGTCAGAAGAGCTCGTGTGTAACACAGTGAAGCACACTGTTAGAATCTAGAATAGTAACCAATAGTTTGAAATAAAAGTACAGCTATGCATGTTGCTTCAAAGGGAACCACTTAAAGACAATAAAATGAAAAGGGTATGTCCAAGAAAACTTTCTATTCTGTTTATATGAACAGTAGCAAACACCACTTTAAGAAAAGGATGCTGCTATTCAACCCCACATTGCAGCTGTTGTGAGGCAAGGAAGAAGCAACTGTGTAACACAAACCAGTTTTATGTTTAACGTTGCTAACTCAGAAACCACTAACAAGTCTCCATTGTTACCCACAAAAATGGAACTGCCTCCAGTCGCACAGAATGTAGCACAAGTGGTTACACAGAGCAGCTTCCCCTACTACTCACATATTCTGGATGGATATATACATATAAGGCTATCACGCCTGTAAAATCTAAAATAAAGATCTAGAATTGTTTTCTGCAAGACTGCTGAATACAAATATTTTTAAATCACTTGTAGCTCTCAACAATTAAAAACTGAAACCAAAGTTGATAAGATAATTTCTAAGTGAGGGAAGGCAGAGGCAGGGGTACTCACTGTACTTACTTGCTGTACATGGAGGGATTCTACCTCTGTTCAATATCCAAACTTAGGTCTGGGGTGCACAGCCCACAGGAAGTAGCCTAGAAGGCAGTACATCAGGGCCTTTCATTCCGGACATGGACTCAGCAGAGACTGCTTCTGATGGGACCCTCACAGCACATTCTTGTTCTAAGCACATATAGACCCCACAGGGCCGAGCCATGGCCTCCAGGCAGTCCAAGACCTCACAGAGGTGAGGTGCTGATCAGAGGGAGGCACACTCAGTACAAGGGTCAGTAGAGCGAGATCTCTCAAGAGAATGAAGCTGGGTCAGGCAGATAGGAACACTTTCCTTTCCATTCCATCTGCTTATAGATGCCATGGAACCCCCGGAAGGCCTCTGAGAGGTGGCTCTTCTAGCAATATTTACCCTCATATTGCTCAAGCTTGTGGGAAGACGAAGAGTTGGAGGGCACTTCCAAAATCCCCAGTGAATTTTCATGGGTCTAGTAGAAAAGAAACTGCTTCTTAGAACAGTTCACTTTCCAACCAAGGAGGATTCACAGGAGAAGACAGACATCTCAGGTTCTCATTTGACATCAGCTGGGCTGGAAACTGAATCAGGGAGCAAAGAGCAGAGGCCCAGAACTGGAGAGCAGAGGAAACTGTCAGCTTGGGCAGGCAAGCTCCTGGTGGCTGAGTAGTGAGACTTATGACCATCATTAATACATATGTGAAGCTGGAAGCCTTTTCTTTTCTGATTTCAGCAGGGGTCGAGGCATGGAAAATGGGCAGCTGGGCCTAGATGATATCCCAGTTTCTAAGCGAGGACTTTACTGCGAGGCAAGGCTACTCACTGGTTTTCTTAGGAGCTGAGTACTTTTCCGCTCCTGGCTCTGACTCTTTGGGGGTTGTCTATAATCCTGTTGGTAGTTTCTGGAGGGATGTATGACTAGTCAGGCTGGATTTTTCAACCTTGCAGCATTGCTTACGCTGCCAGGTGACAGCAGGCTGTAAGATCAGTTCAGTGGGGTCGGCTGGAGCTGCTCCGGGTGAAGTAGAAGACTCGGCAGCAGGGTACTGCACACATGAGCTAGTGGGCGCCACTGCCAGGCCTCTTGCAGAATAAATGGTTTCATTCTTGACCATGGCTGGGGTTCCTGAAGATGAACTCTTCCATTTGCAGGAGGCTGAAGCCATGACATCAAATATTCAACCAAAGAAAGCCTATAGGCAGCAGCCAATGATGGTTCATTCTGATAAACATCATCCTGGACTGAGGAGGTTGTCAAGATTTTGTAGATAGCTTGGAACACTGTCAGCTACTTGAAAGGCAGAGGTATATGAGAAGAAATAAATGTTATAGAATGTGTTGGAATGCTCAGTGAGTGAGTTGCTATGCAAGGTGTAAGAGGACCCCAAGAAGGCAGTGGCTACTGTGATGCATGGCTAATGTCCAGGGACGCTTCAGAGGGTTGAGATGCACCAGGCACCCAGGAGTGCTGGGCACTGCTAAGGAAGGAGACTTGGGAGTAGTAAAGCATGTTGGACCTCTGTACTGACGAATGGAAAGGTCTGTGACATTAGAGGGGGACAGATGCCAGCAGGAGAGTCTCCCCAGAGTTCCCATCACATGATATCTGGTTCTGGGTTACCAGGTACAGTGGTCAGAAGAGAGCCATCCCAGATGTCCCTCCTGCTGATCTTCAGGATTTCCTGAGCCCCATTTTTCAGTTAACCCCAGGCCAGATGTCCACTGGGAACTTCTGTGCTGTTCTTCGGCCTGGCCATGGGGTCATCATAGCCTCCAAGTCCAACACAGTTCACAAGAGCTGTGGGAGAATGTAAGGAGGCCCTCCACTGCCAGCATCCTTTCTCTTCCTTCCTCAGGATAATCTTAGGGTTGGTTGCCACACAGTACAGTTCTTTGTTTGTCTCAAGTATTTTTTTGTTTGTTTGTTTCAAGACAGAGTTTCTCTGTAGTTTTGAAACTTGTCCTGGAACTAGCTCTTGTAGACTAGGCTGGCTTCGAACTCACAGAGATCGGCCTGCCTGTCCCTGCCCCCCCCCCGCCCTCCCCGCCCAGTGCTGGGATTAAAGG